TATTTTTTGAAACATTTCAAGGGTTTAAACATTGTAAATCCTTAAGTTTATTTTAAAATAAAGTTTTTAACAATATTGAATGGAATTTCATTTTAATTAATCTCTGTTAAGAAGTGTCAGAGTAATACACCATATTCCTTCTTGTAATTCCTTAAAGATTGGTGAAATTATATTCCTGATTGCAAAGTAGCCTTCCAGTTGGCTAGACATAGCTGAAGTTCTTGTAAAAATCTTCCTTTGTTACAGCTCCCCTCTATTCATGTATGTTAAGGGGTCAACAGTTTTAATTTCCATTGTTAGATACTATCCCAATAGTATCTACAGTCAGAATTTTGACGAAATCTAAGGCTGAGGTCATAGTCATGCTAAGCAATGGTTTATATATCCATGGCTTAGCAAATAAATCATAATTGTTTGGGTATAGGCAATATGCCAAGCCATAAACCCTGGTTTATAGTCAAAGAATCTGGGTAAAGACAACATACTTAAACCACCACCATATAAATTATACAAACTATGCTTTAACCTTAAATTATGCTGCTAAGTAGTGGTATATTTGCAAACTCCACTTTTTAGTAATTAACAAAGAACAAATAAAAAGATGCTACTACCGCAATAGAGTTGCAGTTATTCAGATTAAAACTATATTCATATGTATTGTTCAACATCCTTTAAAACATGCCATCTTAGAACTTTCATTGCCACCCCACTTCTTAAACATCCTTCCCGTTAAAACTAAAGTGCTCTTGGTATTTTGACACACAGCCTAGATGTACTGCATTTATTAGGATGCTTTTAACATACTGCTTACAGTTGTAATTTTTAGAATGAAATGTAGATAGTTAAGGAAAGATTGGTTCCTCATCAAATTTAGTTTTCTGTGCTGTTAAAATTAATTTTTTTTAAATGTCTTTGGATATTCAAAAATTGTGTAAAAATAATTATAGATCAACGTATTGGAGACTCAGGTGGTATATCAGTATAGCTTCACATTTCTGAAAGCTTGTTTCTGGTCTTTTTCCATGTGGTGGTTCTTCTGAGAATCTTGTATGTGTGTATGTTTGATGCTTCATGTTGCTTCTACTTGTTCCCCTTTTCCTTTAACTCATGTGAATTCCGACCTTTTAGCAAGGAACTAGACAACCTGTGACCTGTTGGGTCATTGTTTCAGAGATATTTCCTTACCTAAACAGAGACTTGTGACTTGCTGCTGGCTTCCCCATTGACTTTGCTTGTGGGAAGCTGGCAGGGAGCATCAGAAATCTGCCTGCCTGCCTTCCTGTCTGTCTTTCTTTCTACATATAATATAGGCTTGTGCCATTTGCCCTCCCCTCACGAACCTCAGGAGCCCCATGAAGCCTCCTCCTCAACTGACCCGTGGAACTGCCTGCCACTTTGCTGGTAGGAGGTGGAACAAAGGGAGCCACAGACTGCAAGGAAAACTGCACTCCTGCTCCTCATTCTGGTGTGTCCCCAAGGGCCCCCTCCCTCGAGGGAGGAAGAGGGCTCACATGCCAACCGCCAGCACCCCCCAGCCAGCTCTACCTCACCAGCGTGCATCCAAGTCACTCCCTTGTCCTTCCCTCAATGCCCATCACCATTAAGAGAGTTCAAATTTCGGTTTTGGTTCTAAAGCAGCCAATTGCCATTCGCCCCTCAGGCCTTGCTGCCAGCCGATTGGGCACAGGGGACAGAGGGAGGTGGGAAAGAGGGTAGGGATATGCCCATGATGATCAAGTGACTAGGGCTGACCATGATGGCGCAGCAGCACAACAGTGCTGAAGCAGCCACACATTTCCCAAATTTCAATCTCACGGGAGTAATGGGTCCCTGATTTTGGACACATTCTGTAATTTAGCCCATCTGAGATACCTTGGTTCAAAAATTGTTGCCCTATGACACACTGTTTCACCCAGTTGAAGGTTACAGACACGAGAGTTTTAGTAGCATATAGATGAATAAGACTGACCACGGGTATGTGCTCATGTTCTACATTAGCATTGTTATACATTGTTGGTGAAGGGTGGTAAAGCTGCTGACTTTTCTGTCTTTATTGTATCTGCAACCTCCCGTGGCTTTGTTTAAAATAGCCTACTCCCTA